CGTGCTTTGCACTACTAAATTGACGCCTCTATATCAAAGTAATCATCGCTAGTCTTATCTCAAAGTCATTTGTAGGTATTTTAGGAGGAGAAATTCCACTTTAAAACCTATAAGCTCCCGGAGTTCCCAACGCCTTCAATGCTACTCTCGGCTTAACACCATTCTTCCTCGTTCTTCTTCTTCTTCTTGATGGATTTCCTCTCTTGGGGGACTTAAGCATGAGGAAAGATTAACAACCCTTATCCTTGTTATGGTCCTCACAATGTCTTGATAAAATGGCACTAAATTATGATCTCTTGCCCTATACATACAAATATCAAAGACAAATATCAATAGCACGGCTAGGAATGTAGCCTAAAAGAAAAAAAATGTTTTTTGTATTTTTCTAATAAATGGAATAGCCACAATAAACAATAGCAAATGAATGCCACTCCCCCGCAACGGCGCCATTTTTTACGCGGGTAAAACCTAGGTCTTTGATTACAAAGTAACCCCGATAAAAACCCAATTTATAAAACCAAACCCAACCCTAAGTATAAGGGAAAGTCGGGTCGAACCCAAGAGAATGCAGTATTTGCTAAGGTTTCAAGCTAAGATATTCTAAATTCTTAAACAATATGGTTGGTCTAAGTTATGCTATTGAATGAACTCAATCAAAGCTAACAAATAGAATTCAAATATCAAAGCACTAGGGAATTTAGGATCTACATGCACTAATGATAAACTTGCTAATTTATTGAGAGTATTATCAATCAAGCAATGCGAGGGAAAAAAAATATTTGCAATCAAAATCAGTCAAAAAATCTATTTCCTTGGTTTAAGCTAGATGTCTCTATAAATGACTTCAAAGGAAAATCACGAAATAAGATTAATCGATAATAATAGCTTCAAATCAATTTTTCGTGTCATTTAGAACTACTATGCAATCTACCTTGATAAGAAAGGTTAGCTAATCCTCTTCAAACCAAACACATGCACAAATTTCATCAACCAATTTAATCATATCATCAAATCAATCAAACCAAAATTAGCTTTAGCTCATCATTCATACATGCTTCACCACATCCTTAGCAAAGGTTCTACTCTCAACACGTTGTAAATTTGAAAAGCATAACAAAAGTAATCATCAATTTCATCATCAACATTGTAATTCAAATATCAACAATCAAATCAAACAAACAATAGAAATTCAACAATATTTCAAGAATCAATCAACAAATTACATTGAAAAGGAAAGAATTTTGACAAAACTTTGATTAATATCAAAGATGGATGAAGTTCAAAATGTAGCAATCATCAAATACCAAGTTTCTCTCTCTAAAATCTAAGAACAAAGTCTCCAGAACCTTGAGCTTCCCCTCTCTAAAATTCTAATCAAAATCTAATTCTTAAGTAATTCTCTAATTATTCTTTCATGAGTCTCTCTCTAGAATTGAAGGAATTCTATATATAGTAAAACTAACTAAGGAGAAGTTAGTTAAGCCTCTCATCCCATTGTCCGGTCGCAACAAAATACGTACAGAAAAGGGGAAAGCCAACTGCACGGCTGCTCCTCTGCCTTGCGTGGCCGCGCCACAGCCTTGCGCGGCCACTCCTCCCTCTTGCACGACCTCACTTGGGAGTAGGGGAGTTCTTCATGTGCGGTCGTTGATGCTCCCGTGCGCTCGACTTGACACATGTTGGGGGAAGCAGTCACTTGAGGCATTCACGGTGGGTTCAACACTGATTTTGATGTCCATGCAGCATGAAAGCGCGACGTTGAAGACTCGGCTTATGCACTCCTTCACTTTTGAGCTTCAAGAGGATGAACCGGGTTACATCTTAAGCTTTTTACACCCCGAGAAAGTGCCACTGAGCTTCTCGAACATCACCATTCTCCTAAAATCAAAGAGAAGAAAACAAGTAACGGAGAAAAGGCAAAATAAACTAAGAAATGCAATAAAATGAGAAAAAAAAAACTAAGAAAATTGCAAAAAGCAGAAATTACAAGTAAAACTAAAGAAAAAGAGACAAAAGAGATACAAAAGAAATAAAAAATCATCCTAAAAGAGGCTTAATAAGGTCATAAATGACACTCATCATCATTAAAAGGGTCGGACGGGTTAGTCCACAGTACAAATTATTTTGTCCATGTTTACACATTTATATTAGGAGGCTAGGCCTAGCCTACCTAAATTATCACTTTTTTCAAAATTATTGTCCAAGGACATCCATTTTGCAGGCTGGGCAAAGCGGGCTTAGCGGGTCGTCCAGTCCATGAAAATCTCTATTTGAGGGCTAAACGAGCCCCTTATTAATGACGGATGAAATATATGCTATTCTAATTTGATGGGATAGGTTGAGGGCTAAATGAGTTCCTTAAAGTAGAAATGAGCGATACCGTTTCAAATTTTAAGATGAAAAGAGGGATAAACGAGCCCTTAGTGAATTTGATAGTTGGCTAGGACATGATATCTAATATTGAGTATAGGTCAGCATCTGGCCTCAAATATTGGGACAGACGTGTTATAATAACGTGTTAGGTTTAGTAAACTCGGATGTCCTATGTAGAGATGTCAATGGGGCGGGGTGGGGCGGATGTTAGCCTTCCCATCCCCATGCCCACCTAAAATTTTCATCCCAGTCCCCACAGCGAGTCCAAAATTCATCCCCATCCCCACTTTGGCTGGTACAATTCCAAAACCATCCCCGCCCACCCCCACTTGGATATCCATCCCATCTTAATCCCTACCTAAGACCCACAACTTTTTTTTAGTTATAATACTAGTGTACTTAACAGGGGGAAAACAAGGTTGTTAACTAATCCTCCCTTAGCCAAACAAAATTTATAATCACTTAAAAAACCTAAATACAAGTATAGAGGTAAGTCAAGGGTCTTCAAATGTGTGCCTAAGCTAGGTTGAAGTCAAGGGTGAAGAGGTAACACTAGACAACTACTAAAACAAAGTACCAAACAAATGAAACACTAGGGAATGGGGATCAACAAGTAATCAAGACAATTGCAACAACTTAAGAAGAACGTGCCAATCAAAGGTTGTAAAGACTATTGATAAGAGCTATTAATTGGAATCAAAGAGCTATCACCTAATCGTTAAACTAGCAGTCTCTACGAATAACAAACTAGGAGAATCACAATCCAAACAAAATGATGAATAAAATTTCTAAATCCATGGGTCGTGTCATTAGAAATCATAATGCAATGTAGCATAAATCTCAAGGCCTAATCAAACTACATACATGCAAACTTACATTAATCACTTTAATCTCAACAATCGATCAACATAATTTCCAAATTAATCACAATCAATCAATCATACAAGTTTCACCCAATCCCTAGCAAGAAACTACTGAAGAATCATCATAAAATGAACAAGCAAGAAAATGAAATCAAGAATCAACAAAATATAAAGAACAACTACACTTATCAGATCAATCATCAAAACCAAAATCAAATAAACATGAAATTAAACCAAGCAATAAAATGGGATAGATTTAGAAATGATCATTGATAAAAGAGAAGATCTTCAATACAATTGTCATCCTTGTATCATCAATCTCTCAAATTACCATTGAAATCTCTTACTTTCTCTCTCTAAATCTACTCCTAAACTAACCCTAAAACTAGAGAGAGAAATTTTTAACTAAGCTAAAATTATGATGAATATAATGTCTAAAAACTTCTTAAAAAATCGGTTATCAAAAAGGTATTTATAGGTTGTTGAAAATAGAAGACGAGAGAAATTGGAAACTAGAGAGGAGCGCCCGTGCAAGGGGTTGTGCGCCCGCGCATGTGGGCTGCGCACTCGTGTTCTTTGGGTTCCTTCGACGCTTTGTAGCTTTGTGCGCTCGCAAATGATTCTTTGAGTACGCTCGCAAATGATTCTTCGAGTACGCTCGCAAGGTCTTCATGATAGTCACTAAGCATGGAAGATTCAAATGGGCTTAATAGTGGGTTCAACACCATGGTTCCATGAGAGCGCGGCTTGAGAGCGCAAGAGCTAGAACTTAGAGCATGCCACTTTTTTACATATTGAGCGTTCCCAATACTATAAGGTTTCTCGAAAGGCATCTTCAAACTTAGTGAACCACCAATATCAAGACCAAAACCTCGTACAATACCTACAACCACAAAAAGAAGAAAAATAAAGTAGAAAACACTAGAAAAACCATGAAATACAAAATAAGAGGGAAAATGGAAACTAAGGAGAAAATAATGATGGAGGGGATAAAGATTTGTTGGTGGGGTATAAGGAGGTGGAGGTGGGGTCGATTCAAGAGGGAATAGGAAAAGCTACTGGGCAATTTTCATATATACTAGGGAAAGTGGGTGAGAATGTTTTAGTGGATGAGTTGGGCAGTAAACCATATACTATCTTTATTATTGGTGTGGGACAGTCTATAGCTCACCAATTGAAAAAAGTCAAGAAAAAATTAAAGCTCCCTAACTCAAATTCTTTTGGGGAGAATGCTATGTTAATTGATGAGATTGGGGGTCAGAAGTGTAAGGGGAGAGGGAATGATATGGAGAGCATGCTAGAGGGTGGGGAAGGTGAACCTATGAAGCTGAAGGGTGAACTGAGCTCAATGACACTTGGTCTAATTGATAAAGTAGCGGAGGTTGGTATTGACCAATCCCGCGAACAACAATAAAAATCTTAGCATGGAACTACAATGGGCTTGGCAACCCATTGACAGTCAAGGCTCTCCAAGATTGGTGTTGGAGAGATAGGCCAAGTGTGGTTTTTGTTACGGAAACTAAAATTGACTCTCAAAGGTTAAAATTAATTAGAAATAGATGTGGGTTTGCAAATGCCTTGTGTGTTACTAGTGTTGGAAAATCGGGTGGTCTATGGTGGAATAATCTGAAAGTGAATATTAGTAGCTTCTCCTCTCATCATATTTATGGGGAGGTGTGTAATAATGAAAATGTGTCAATTTGGAGATTGGTAGGATTTTATGGGTGACCTGAAGCTGCAAATAAAAACCTTACTTCGGACCTAATGAGGTCTATATATGCATCTGCTTCTTTGCCTATTTTGATGTTCAGGGATTTCAATGAGAGGGATGTAATTCGGGGAGAAAGACAGATTGATGTTTTTAGGGAAGCTATAGATTACTGCGAATGTAGAGACTTGGGGTTTAGAGGCAATGTTTATACTTGGCAAAGAGGCACATCGATTAAAACGTCAGTTTGTGAACGGTTAGATCGATTCATTGCGAGTAATGGGTGGTGTTCTCTCTTCCCGGATTTTGAGGTGTTACATCTACCATCACGTCATTCTGATCATGTCCCAATTTTGCTAAAATGTGGAGAGAGTGAAGTAAGAAGAGCAAATGAAAAAAATTTCAGATTTAAAGCTTTGTGGTTGTCGAAAGAGGAATGTGGCCAGGTTGTATCAAAGGCTTGGAGGGATGATGAATGTGCTCCAATCCATGAGCAGATCACTAGGGTGGCACAGTGGTTATCTACTTGGGCATCTAGCACTTTTGGTGTGTTAAAAAAGAAAATTAGAAAGGCAGAGGGATGACTAAAGGAAATTCAGGGGCAACAACTTGATGCTTCCAGGCTAAAGTTGTGTATTGAAATTGGACGGGAACTTGATGAGCTCCGGAGACTTGAAGAATCATATTGGAACGCAAGGTCGAGAGCTAATGAGCTTCGGGATGGAGATAAAAATACCACTTACATCCGTCATAAAGCAAGCCAGAGAAAAAAGAAAAATACAATTGCAAGTTTGTATAATGAGCAAGGTGAGTGGAAGTCGACAAAGGAAGAGATGGGCAGTGTGATATCAAATTATTTTGGTATCCTTTTTTACTAGTTTTCCGAATAATTTTGAAGAAGCATTGTCTAGTATTGTGAGTAAGGTGATGGATGAGATGTGTGATATCCTCGACATAGAGGAAACTGCGGAAGAAATAAAAGATGCCCTTTTTCATATGCACCCAAATAAAGCACATGGATCGGATGGAATGCACGCCCTATTTTTTCAAAAATGATAGGGGACAATTGGTGGTGACGTTGTCAGATTTATTAAAAATTGGTGGAGGGGTGAAGCAGATTTGACTGAGGTAAATCGTACTTGCATTGTTTTAATTACAAAATATGAAGAGCCAAAGCAAATGTCGGAGTTTAGGCCTATTAGTTTATGCAATGTTCTCTAAAGTTTATTTCTAAGACACTCGCTAATAAACTAAAGTCGATGCTTGGTTCCATTATTTCGGAACATCAGAGTGCTTTTGTCCCGGGGCGGCTGATCACTGATAATGCTCTCATTGCTTTTGAAATTTTCCACTATATGAAAAGAAAAGGAGAAGGTAGAGATGGTAATGTGGCCCTCAAGCTTTATATGAGTAAGGCGTATGACAGGGTGGAGTGGGTTTCATTGAAAAAGTGATGTTGCAGATGGGGTTCCGGATAGCTTAGATTAATAGGATAATGCAATGCTTATTGAGTGTCACTTTCTCGTTTAAGTATAATGGTACTATTTTGGGATCATTAATCCCATCACGCGACCTTGGACAAGGTGATCTAATTTCTCCGTACTTGTTTCTGATATGTGTTGAGGCTTTTTCTACTTTAATTTCGAAAGCAGCTACGGAAAATTTGATCCATGGTGTTAGAGTGTGTGGGGCGGCGCCAAAGGTTTCACACCTTTTCTTTGCGGATGATACCATTTTATTTGTAAGAGCTAATTTGCAAGAATACTCTAAAACTGCTAATATAATCAGTACCTACAAAAGAGCTTCCGGCCAGAAAGTCAATCTCAGCAAAACTGAAGTAGCTTTTGGCAAATGTGTGGATTTTGAAAGAAGACGGTTAATTATTGAAACTCTTAGTGTACAGGAGGTGGATAGACATGAGAAGTCTGGGGTTGCCGACTCTTATTAGGAGATCGATAATTTGCGTGTCTTAAGGAGCGTATATGGAAGAAAATGCAGGGATGGAAGAAAAAATTATTATCTCCCCCGGGGAAGGAAGTGTTGATTAAGGCGGCGTCTCAGGCAATTCCAACTTACGTGATGAGCATTTTTCAGAAATCTCGATAGTATTATTAGTTAAATTCATTCGATTTTAGCTCGATTTTGGTGGGGGTCTAATAGCTCATCTAGAAAGACTCATTGGCATCGATGGGAGGATCTTTGTCTTCCAAAATCAATGGGAGGAATGGGCTTTAGAGACTTAAAATGTTTCAAGCTTGCTCTTCTCGCAAAACAAGGGTGGCGTTTGTGTGATGAGAACAACACTTTGCTATAAAAAATTTTGAAGGCAAAATATTTTAAATACTCTTATTTTTGTGGTGCAACGAGAGGGTTCGATCCAAATTACACTTGGAGAAGCATTTGGGGGGCAAAATCCTTGCTCTTGGAGGGTTTCAGGTGGAGGGTGGGTAATGGCTCATCAATTAAAGTGTGGGAGGATGTCAGGTAGTGATAATAAAGCTACTCCTACGATTAAATTGGGCTATGATATTGATATGATGGTCTGTGAGCTAATTGATTTTGATAACATGTATTGGAATTCTGAAATTGCGGAAGCAACATTTGAAGTGGAGGATTGTAGGACGATTCTTGACATCCCATTGCCGAACAAGTGGACGAGAGATAGAAGGTATTGGTGGCCAACAAATGATGGTTTTTTCTCTATAAAATAAGCATACTGGTTTTGAAGGCTAGGTAATATGCAATCTTGGGAATTATTTTATGGTGATCGTGAGCTTTGGAGGAATGTATGGAATGTAAATGGACCTCCAAAATTATGTCATTTTGTTTGGAGGGCGTGCAAAGGTTCTCTTGGTGTTATAGCTATTTTATTTGCTCGTAATATTCGGCCTTCAAGCTCGTGTTCCATATGTGGTGCTGCTAGCGAGATGATCATTCACACCTTGTTTCACTACACTTACGCTGAAAACATTTGGCAGCAAAGCGAGTTTCAGAACTTGATTTTGGAAGGTCCGTCCTCTTCTTTTCAGGAATTTTTCTGTTGGATTGTGAGTAGACTAGAGGTGAATGGAGTTCCTTTGCCTAGCATGGGCGACGTGGCATTGCAGAAATATGGCTATATTTGATAACGTTTCTAAGGTGAATGGAGTTATGGTGGTAGCAAGGTATGTAAATTTTTGTGAGGACTATGCAATTTAAAATGCTAAAGTGGGGGGGGGGGGAGTATATCTGCACCTCTGAACTTTTCTAGAGCTAACTAGGTCCTCCCTCAGCACAGTGGGTCAAGGTGAACGTTGATGCATTTGTGCGTAGGAGTGTGGCTGTTGGCTTGGGCGTGGTCATCAGGGATGAAAAGGGGAAGTTGCTGGTTATGGCAACAAAGAAATTGAAGTGTAAATGGGCTCCTGAAGTCGCCGAGGAAGCAGCTGCAAGGTATGGTATTGAGATGGCAATAAAGCTTGCTTGTGATAGAGTTATTCTTGAATGTGACTCATTGAATGTGGTAAGAGCAATCAGGCAGAAACAAGAGGGTGCGACACCTATTTTTCACTTCTTCGAGGATGTCTTCCGTATGAGTAGTTCTTTTGTTAATTTTGAATGTGTTCATGTACGACGTGCGGGAAATATTGTTGCTCATCTAGCGGCTAGGTGGGATACGGGTCTTAGCAATGAATTTATTTGTACAAACTCTATCCCACAAAGTATACAAGCTTTGGCGGACCTTGATTTAATAAACTAATTTTCCCGCGGTGGTCTTCAGAAAAAGGAGAAAATATATTAAACTAAGCATTTATTAAGAAGGAAAGGTGTGAAAAGAAAGTAAAAACAATCTTAATACTCATCAAATGAGTGTCATAAATGGCACTCATCAATACTACAAATTATTATATCTACTATTTTATTTTACATAATTTCTTTTTTATAAAATGTATAAAGTCTATAATTTTGTTACTAAAAACTATTTTGGTGTGAGGTGAGGATGAGGCGGGTACGAAGTAGGGCGGGTAGAGCAATGCGAGGATGGGGTGGGTATAATGTTAAATCCACCCTCGCCCGAACACCCATGGTGGGTATAATTCTTATCCCATCCCTGCCCCACCACTCACCAAACTAAGACCTATCCCTGCCCCACTGAGGTGGTCGGGTGTCACGGTCTGGGGGTTTGGACCCCAAAACATGCGGCGCGCTCTAGCCTTTTTGCAGCAAGAACACTAGCCTTAAGCGAAAGAGGGATTTCTGAGCACAAATCAACACAAGATGGAAATTAAATCAAAGGAGCACTCACGTTTATTTGGGCGACAGAGTGCAGGTGGTAGGGGCTTGTGAGGGCCGATACTTTAAGGCGGCCATAAGCGGGTCTGAACCACGAGTTCTTAGTCCATTAAGTTGGTTTGGAGGGGAGCTATTATGTAAGTAAGACACAATATCAATAAAGTTCTACCAATAAACAAGCATTAAATCAAGGCAACACTTGGTAGAAGGCTTAAGATTTCATTAATCATTCACCCTCTAAATAGCTTTAATTTTATTACAAGGAGAATCACTAAAGAACACTAAACCGACAGTAACACAATAATGGGACCTCAGTCCTAGAAAACATAAAATAAACTCTAAGAAAGAATCTAAAGGGAATCTAATACATTAAAAGGAGTTAGATTCTAATATCCTCCCCCACTTAAGTTATCGACGACCTCGTCGACTTACAAGAGTTACAATCGAAATATAGAATATCCTAGCTATCTTGAGTCTATGATGCGCCGGTGATGCAGCTGACTTCTGGAATCTTTGCTGACTCTCGTACTGGATCTTTTTTGTTGACGAGGAGCTAGTCTCTTGGGTAACTCGGCCCGAACAATTTATTTGGAGCTTCATTGTCTGAATTTCCTCCTAGGAGTTGAATCTTGTAGTTTCAGAAAGCAAATAGCTTCCTCGGTCATCTGTTGAAGAGCTGCTACCTGAAGACTGTGGTGGTGAGCTTCAAGTTATTGTTGGTGTCTCTTGGGTGACCATTGTTTCTGTGATCCCTTACACGTGACCTTCTTTGTTTGCTCAACCACTATTTTACCTATTTAATGGGAGGTTCTCCTTTGTTGTCTTTTTCGTATCTTTGGGCTCGGCGCTCTTTGCTTTGAACCGTGTGTCCGATTTTGATTTTGGCAGGGGTGTATTTTGGATGTTGCTGACTCACTAGGCTTCATCTCCCGCTTCTGGTTGTCTCCGGCGCGAGCTTGTTTCTTCAATGTTGCCTTTTTCTCTAGCTCCATCACTTGCATTGCCGATATGTATAGGACTTCTAGTTCTTCCTCAGGTGCTACCATTGTCATGGAGCCCATCCTGTAGATCGTACTCATTCTTTGAGTTGGACGATTGTCTCTATTGGTTTCTTCCTCCTCTTGGGACTCTTGCACCGAAATGGCTGAAAATCTCCTTTGGATCTTGTCAAGCTCTTCTGTATGCTCGCACTCCCACCATTTGTGTGGGCCTCGACAAAGAATGCAGTTCAGCGACTTTGTATTTGCCGAGGATGCGCCGACCTTAGATTTTTCGGAGTTGTGGGAGGAGGTCGATGTTAATCACTACGCAT